GGCCTTCAACTCGCCGAGTCCCAGGCCAAAAATGCACAATTACTTAAATAAAATACATACCAGGAACCAGGTGCTACATTAGGGTTTGCAAACCCTAGCTCTGTCGACAACAAAATCTATGACATATGTGATGGGGACGAACCACATGAGAGATAGAATAGGGTGAAAGATCAGATAGCGATGATAACAGTGGTTTCCGGTGAGATATGCGGCTGCCGGCGGTTGTTCCAGATAGAGGGTTCGCCGGAGGGTGGAGATTGATGAATGGCTTCTCTGTTCCTGATAAAAATGGAAACGGGAGGGGGGAGGGGGTTTATTGGTTATTTATTTATTTTCTTTTTTTGTTTCAAGTTAATAAAAAAAGAAAAAATTAATTATAAGGGCAAAAATGTCTTTTTAAGTGTAGAGGGACCAAAATTACTAAAAAGATCCATACTTGGACCACTCACGCACCACCAAACCTTTTTGGACCAAAACCATATTTTTTTTTGTCAACCATAAGGACCATTTTTGCAATTTTGTCAAACTAAAATCAAAACAATTGCCAAGTACAAAATTATAAAATAAAAAATAAAAATTAGAATAGGCTACAATCTTTGACAACTACATAAACAATTTTATAATTTACTGTTGTATCTATTTAGAAGATTTAGGTAGATTAATATACCAAATATATATGGTTTCATTTGGGAATTGTTGGTAACACCTTTTTGATGTATTAAGTTAGTAAGTTACCATCGTAAAAAAAAATATGTTACTAGGAAACTTTCACACACTCTCGATATCTTTGAGGAATTCATAATTAAAGTCGGGCGAATTTCGTAGATGCCCTTTTTAAAAATCAAAATATCATATTTGTCCAACCAAATTTCTAAATATCATATATATATCCTTTATAAGTTTTCAAAATATCATATTTGCCCAAATTTTTTTTTTTTTATATTTTTATAATCATTTATTATAATTTAAAATCATTCTTATTATAAGAGAATCTAGAATACCGATAATACCCTTCCACAATTTCCTTTTTAATTACATCATCTTCAACACTTAACCCTAATATTTTTAAAACTCCAAACATGTAATGCATGTCACTCTTGTGCAAGTTGTCACAATTGTCATTCCATGAGGTCAATTTTAGATAAGTGGTAATAGACTCATATAGTACATAAAAATTTAAGCTTTCTAAAGCATTCTCTGATACTCTATGTACTGATGAATCATATAGACAGATAAGTACTTTTACATGCAGCGAAGCCATAAATTCCTTGCAATATTGAAATAAATGTCATCTAATTGGTAGCGTTCTTTAAGACTTTTAAATTGGTTAGCAATTTTTTATTTAAGTTGTTTAAAAAGGATATCAATTATGAGGCTTGAAAAGCGACACTTTGATTCTTAAAGTCAAAGATGAGCTATTTCCATTGAACGTATATGTATTAAATCAAATTAAAGAGAAATTAAATTATACTACCATGAAAAGCCCAACAAAGAGAAATATGTAATTAGACAGAGACTTTAGAGCCAAAAAATTATTGATGCCGAAAAGGCAGAAATCTCTTTGATAGGTTGCATCAAAATCGCGAGGTACTGTCAAAATCCCGAGGTACTGTCAACGACTTTTCCATGGTGGCAACAAAAGATTTTCTCCTTGCATTTTTATTAGAATAAATAGAGATTTGAGTAATTGGTTTTGTATTTCAATCCGAAAGATAAGAATGACAATGATTTAGAATAGAGGTTTAGGGGTTTGATAAGATTGAAAGCAAACTTAGTAGTTTATAGATTTTGGGCAACCTTGTTCATTGTGAGTCACCATTCTTTATAATTGTGTGTTTTTACACCAAGATCATGCAATAGGTATAGTGGATTTAATTAGATTTTCGAGGTGAAAAGAAAGAAGGAAGAGAATAAGTGGGTGTTTAAAACTGTCAATCCCCCAGCCCCAACGCCATAATGTATTTCTACAAAATATAAACAAGGGTAATATGGGTATTCTAGATTTTCTTATAATTATAATTATTTTAAATTATAATAAATAATTATAAAAATGTTTAAAAATGGGATTTGGGCAAATATGATATTATAAAAAAATCTAAAGTGCATAATGAATATATGATATTTAGAAGTCAGGCTGGATAAATATGATATTTTGATGTTTAAGAATGACATATGTTATTTTCCGGATTTTAAGATGTTACATAAGAATATTAATGTTACCATAATAATTTGTATTAAACACAGATAAAAATATACATTTTATTATATATAGTAATACCTCTGTCAACCGGTTTCACTATCGAGATAAAAATGAAAGAACTAATATCCAAAAGTTGAATTTAAAACCTTATTTGTATATTATCACATCATCGTTATATATTAACTTAATCAAACACAAACAATCGTGACATAAAAACGAAAGATGATAATGTATTTATTCACGTTTACGAATTTTCAACCTCATCACGTGAAATCCATTAAAATGGAGAAAAGTGACATGCACAACCTTGTTGATTAATGCCACGTTTTCTTGTTAATTCTTATTTACAAATAATAATATACTTGAATCGATATCGTTATGTCAATTATATTATTTATGTATATTTATTTTGAGAACCTATGATATAAATAAGAAGTTTCTGGACAGAAAAAAAAAATAATTAATAATAAACCAAATTATATTTTAAGTAATTAACTGAATTATTTTAACCATTATTTCTTAAGATATGTTTTAAAAAATATATATTAACTGAAAATAATTTAATTAAGAAATAATACATATATCGTAGAAAACCTTTTTTTTTTTTTTTTGTTTGGATTTGGAAACTTCCTCCTATAAAATTGCTACGTACGATAGTTTACTTTGGAAGCACCATAACACAACCATGGAGGCAAAACTCTCCAACATCCGTCTATCCACGGTGGTTCCTGGTGAAGTAACGGTGGCAAACACCATTCGCCGTTTCACAAACGCCGATTTAGCCATGAAATTCCACTACATAAAAGGAGTATATTTCTTCACGAAAGAAGCTGCCGATGGTCTAATCATTTTCGAACTGAAAACAGCCATGTCGTACCTTCTAAGCCTGTACCCCACGGTGGCTGGCCGGATCCGACGCCGGCTGGAAAACAACCGGCCGTTCATCAAGTGTAACGACAGTGGGATTAGGGTGGTGGAGGCGGAGAGTAACACCACCGTTGATGAATGGGTTGAGATGAAATGCGATGTGAGTGAACTCGCTTATAGTGGTCATGTACTTGGCCCTGACCTTGAATTCTCTCCTCTTGTTTCTATTCAGGTAAATTATTTATTTTTTTCACATTAATTTAATTATTTTAAAAAGTTTTAGAAGGAATAAAAGAGGTTAAACAAGTTGGATAATAGATCAAATCGAGCTTGTATAATAACAAATTTGGTATATGATGATTTTCACCATGAATTTTGTTTTAAATTTATCGAGTTAGTTTACTTATTACCCTAATTTTATATTTGGTAGTGGAATTTAGATCAAGAATCAAGAATAAAATAATATAATGAATTAGATCATTGCAATGCAATGGATTATCATCACATTCCATTATCTATAAAAAAAATAAGCTATTGGATAAAGATATACATGCTATTTTACAAATATAAATTTTAACCATTAAATAACTTATGTATAAACATAATTGATAATTCGTTTACAAAAAAAAAAATAAATAAATAAATAAATAAATAAAAAAAAATCGCTATGAGATTTAAAACATACACAAAAAAAGTTGTATTTATTTTTAGAAAAAAAGATTTGAATTTTGAATATTAAGAAAATGTCAATTAATGTTATTTAAAGTTATATAAATACGAATAAATTTGTAAATATGAATATATCATTCTATTTCACACCCATGTAATAGTGAGACAAAATCAACCATCCCTATGAAATGAAAATAATTCAATAGAAAAAAAAAAGGGTAATTACATTTCATTTCTATGTATAACAAACAAGTGAAAATTATTTGGTCTCATGATGCTCGATTCAATTCTAATTTTGAGCACTACATAAGGAACACTACCCAAGTCTGAGAAGTTTATAAGTCGTATTGGATCAATATATGTATTTATGTATATATGTATAGAACAAAAATAATAAGTGTAGCATCTTTTCACTTCATAAGGAAAATTATATGACATAACGTTACATAATTAGAGTAAACTAACTTAAACAAAATTACTAAAACAATTACTATCATAATATATCCTCTTGGTTCTTGGGGTGGCACTTGCATAATCTTCAAACTTTGTTTTCCCCTTCAATGATACCTCACAGTTTCAGGATGTGTTTCGTAAAACTAACTGATAACTTGTAACTTGAAGCTGATAGTTGTTATCTCTTACGTATTTAATAAACAAAAACAACTAGTTTGTGACATTGTTTTAGAATAATGATGTTTTGTTAATAAGTAAACAATACTTTGTTGTCCATTTATGGCATTAATTCTACCTAAAAATACATGGAACATACTGGATCTCCTAAAAATACATGGAACATACTGGATCTTGTTTTTTAATGCATATATAAAATATAAACCATAACATCATTCATGTATCTACTGTCTGCATATATATTTCACATAAATTCATAAATTTGCATTTTAACCTAAGCACTTCATTCATGGATTTAATTATAATTTGTACTATTATAGTTTCGTTAAAAACAATAACAGCTATAAATATATCATATTCGTAAGAATCCATCATTCAAATCACAGATTAAAACAAATTTAGCATAGGTCGGCTTTGTAATAAAGTCAACTATGAACTTAAAAGATTCGACTTAGACAGTTAGACGTATGTGCTGTCATCTTAATTAAGCCACACATGCTAAGCTATAATCTTTCGTTTCCAGATTTGTTATTAGACATTTTGCATGCATTCAGTAATATTTAATGGAAGAGTTCAATAATACAACTTAATTGTATAGTCAAATATTATGAGATTATTTAATAATGTGTACAGGTTCATAAATGAACTCTATTCAAAGACATTCTCACATTTTTTTAAAAAGGGACTTGAACCCTCAACCTTTGGCTAAGAAACTGCTATCTTGATACCACTAGGCAAAGACCCTTTTATTAGATCAAATTTTTTGAGTTGTTAATTAATTAATTAAGAACCTGAATACCCTGATTAGAAATAGCTTTTTTCCATTCTATGCACGCAATTTTTTTTTTCATTGACACCCCTCAAAAGAAGTTGATCATCTGCATACTCTTCAAGGTATTAACTACCCTGATGGGGACTTTGTAAAGAGAAAAAGAAAGATGCATTCCAAAGATGACCAAAGCAACTTTACATATAGCAAGCCTTCCTCCAAGAGAGACAGAAGCTCTCCAATAAGTAAAGGGAAGGGAAGCTTCTTTGCAATTAATTTTATTACTAATTTCCGACCTCAGAGACACCCACTCCATACAATTTACTGTTTAATCCATAATACATGAGATTAAGGGCATTATCCAAAGACCATTCACTAAGAAAGTTTACATCGTCCGCCAATTATATTGAAGCTAAGAAAATTTACATCAGAGCCGAACACCATGAAACATAATATCTTTGAATAATTTGATTTGAGAGATTGTATTCATTTTGAACTCATTGATGTGATTTCAACTTGTTTCTTTGACCCATTCTTCCAATTTGAACAACAACAATACAATCTCATTAGAATAAGATGAGAATAGTTAAGATATAGGAAACCTCTACTCAAGAGCAGGGACTCTTCCGTAAATAACCTTTACGAATTTGATATGTTTCCAGTTTAACTAGTTTTTCTTGTTTTACCTAGGAATGTGCAAAATTCGGTTGGGAACCCTAAAACCTATAATTTGGTTCAAATTTGGTATATTCATATTCTTTTTTAACAATAAAATGGTATATTTTCTGTTAGAATTATAGGGACAAAATATCAATATGACTTGGATAATTTCTTGTATCGTAATTACAACATTTTCCAAAATGTGAAATTTGACTCTATTCCAAGGTTACACGAATTCAAACTATGGGATAATCCAAGAAATCGAAACGGATTTTAGGACTAATCTGATTCACAAACATAAAATACCATGTTTGTTTCGTGTTATGGAGAGATAATATCTTGCAGAATCATAATACAATTCTTGTGTCTTCTACAACGCCA